ACGAGGAGCACCGCACCACATAACTCAAGTCGTGGTATTGACATAGCTTTCATCGGAGCTAGCTTCGTCTTGGACCCAAGAAGATATATACGAACATCTCCTGACGGAGCAGTCACACGAAGATAAACCACTGCAGCATATCCCTTCTCGGACGCATCCGAAAACCCACACACCTCATACTTACACCCAGTGGAGCAACCGATGTAGCGAGGTATTTGGATTCCGACGAGCCAACCCAACGAATGGTAGAACCTGTTCCAATCTTCTGCGATGTCTGCAGGAAGTTGTTCATCCCAACCGATTCGAGCCACCCATACACGCTGCATGATGCATTTGGCATAAAAAATAGTTGGAGCTAACAAGCCAAGTGGGTCGAAGATCCTGGCGATCATCGACAACACTCCTCTTTTCGTGGGGATCAATTTAAAATCAGAAATACAAAAGGAAAAACATTCCTTGTCGTGGTTCCAACGCATTCCTAGCACTTGCGTGGCATTTTCCTGCTCGAATAACAAGGGGTCACTCGAACTATCTTCTTGAAGAATATTCTTCAGTAACTCTGGCTTATTACTGGCCCACTTCTTCAATTCCAAACCGGACCTGGCAAGGGTCGTGACCAGGTTTAACTGCAGCGCCTCGGCAGCTTCCAACGACTCGGCTCCGACGCAAATGTCATCCATATATGTATGATTGTAAAGAACTCCTTTCACCTCTGGCAATTTCTCACAATCTGTGTCAGCAATGTGACGTAGGACACGCAAGGCTAAATAGGGAGCACTATTTACCCCATACGTTACCGTATTCAGAACATATTCCTTGACGATCACTTGCGGAGAATCCCGCCACAAGATGTATTGATAACCTCGGTATTGTGGGAGCACATCGATCTGGCGATACATCTTGCATATATCTGTCGTAAAAGCCACTTTATGCACTCTAAATCCAACCAAGACATCAACAATGTCCTGTTGTAATTTAGGTCCAACCAACAAGCACTGGTTGAGGGACACCCCAGAATGGCATTTCGCGGAAGCATCGAATACCACCCGCAACTTTACCTCATCCCTTTCAATTTTCTGCACCGCATGATGAGGGATGTAGTATTGACCAGTACCTTCAGCTAGGGACATATGGCCGAGTTCCTCATACTCGGACATGAACTTGCGATAGGCCTTGTACAAGATGTTTTCCGCGGACAACTTCCGCTCCAGATTTAGAAACCGATTCAGCGCAACCTGTCGAGAACCAGGGAAAGCTTCCACTGGTCGACCTGAACGAAACGGAAGAGGAACAGAAAACCGACCCTCTGAATCCCTGCAAACTTCCGATTTGAATAACTCTTCGCACAGACCATCTTCAGTAAACCGAGGCGGAGCTGCCTCCGGTTCTTCA